TTCTTCATTGCATTCAACCTCTTCTTCTGTGTTGAACAGAGTCCGATTTTGCCAGCGCTCTTTCTCTGCCAAGCCCTCTTCTAATCGGGCAGTCAAAGACAAAGACAGAAAGAAAATGATGTCTGATTGCGACAGGGAAACCCCGGAGTACGATGTCCCAACTTCAGGAATCAGCCGACCACTTTCTGAGATACTCAAAGAGCTGAACAAGAAGGTCCCTGATTCCCTCATCAAGTTTCGCCACGAACCTAATGGCTTCTCCCTCAAATATATCCCCTGGTCGGTGGCCTTCTTTTTTCTGTCTCATTTACGCTAGGTTCTTTTATTTTTAGAATGTTTATCGGAATCTGCTCTGCGCTCTACTAGTGTTTGTTTGATTTTGAGGGGAAATTTTTTGTTTGCTTGCGCTTACCTTTTGCATTTATTAGTTGTATCGGACTTGCTTAGGGTTGGGTGTGGGGGTTATGGTTTTGGTTGAGGGTTATTGATGGCATATCTTGCATAACTGAGCTCCAACATTTGCTTGAACTTGTCTAAATTCTGTATTTTTGTTTCAAATTTAGTGATTTCTTTGATGCATATGTCTGGCAAAAGGCTTGTAATGTTTTCTTTTTTATAACGGAGAAATCCCTGAGAGGATCAGTGCACATGGTTCGAAGCTCGGTTGACAATGGATCCGCAGCTCTGCTCTTCTCCACTTAAATACCAAGCTTTTTTTGTGGCAAGGTTCGAACATGTGATGCGCGCCTAACCAAAAATCATGTGTTGCCCTCTTATCAAAGTTGGGGGACAAAACCTTGTAGGGTTATACTCACTTGAAAATTCTAGTTTGACTCTATTGATTGACAACTTGTCCTGTGTCTGTTTGCCTTAAGAGTACTTTGTTCAATAAAACCAGGAGCATTCACGTCTACACCACTTTGCCCGTGTTCATGTAGAGCCACCCTTCAGTTAATAGGTACTCCCAAGGCGTCAACCAACTCCCTAGCATATCCTTCTTACGCAGAGAACATCCAGAATAGATTCCTTGTCCTATAAATTAATTTTGATGCTCAACCAAATATTTTGGTCAGGCATTTTCTTGGCTAACCTAAATGGTAGATGGACACATTTTTCTGTTTGATTATAAGCTGTGTTTTTGTTACATTAATTAATGCAAAAGAGGACAATGAACCGGAGATAAATTTATTTTTATGCAATGTAATATGTGTTCGATTCGTCAACTGCCTCCTCTAGTTTAGAGGAACTATGATAGTGCAGCTCCTGCTAAAAGGAGCTAAATTCAACTCTTATGAAAACATTTGAGCTTCCAACCAAAACTTTAAGGCAATGGGTGGAACGGCCCAAGACCTTTGTAGACCTCTTCGGAAGCCTTTGCTCGATCCTTGTGGGACAATTAATAACTCGAAAATTCTTGTTTTTATTTTTCGAAAAAGTATACTCAATAATTCTGTCTTTCTTCACCTTTGAGGATTCACAAACATTAAACAGAATTTATAGAACACCTTTCAATTAGACTGTTCTATGTTCTTCAAAGCACTAGTCAACTGTTAATATGATCTGGCAGAGACTTGTTTGACGTGCTAGTTAGCCATTTTGAGTGTGTTTGGCTTGGCAACAAATAATTTGCGAAGAAAGTTATCCTTAATGATGCCATTTTCATGTATTTGTCTCCATTGAAATATGAATAACTTTTTTTTCAAGGAAAATGTTTCCTCATAAAGGAGAAATGACTTATGTTCAGGAAGGAACTTATTTTCCTTTGGGAACATCCCAAAATTTACTTTTTATCACTAACTTCAATCAACGCTTAGAAATTATTGTCAATTTCTTAAACTCAAAAATATCACCAAAATACTACTCCCTCCGTTTCAGTTTATGTGAACCCATTTGACTGGGCACGAAGTTTAAGAAAAGAGAGAAGACTTTTGAACTTGTGGTGTAAAATGAAGCACATATATTTTGTGTGGCTATAAATCATTGCATAAAGGTAAATTGTTTCCAAATAGGGAAAGAGGTCATTCTTTTTGGCACGGACTAAAAAGGAAATAGGTTCACATAAATTGAAACGGAGGGAGTATCATTTTATCGTGTAAAACTCTTTATTCGATTACTATATGTTAGTACATACTTCTATACTCAACCAAACAGGGGAAATGGACCTTAAAATGATTTCCCAGATAAAATATTTTCTATGAAATACATTGTCCTTCATACCAAGTGCACCAAAGCATCAATTTGGGTGGTCATCTTTGTTTCACCAAGATTCTGCTTGGTCAATTTCGTAGCTCAGTTGATTTTGAAATATGTGGACATAAGTGCATTTGTAAAATTGTACAGCGGAGCATATTTTTTACGTTTTATATTGATGTGAGCCTTCAATCATTTCTGGATCTGACATGTTAACACTTTTCTGGAATAGTGTGTTCTATTGTTTCTTTTGCTTTTTACGATATAAAGAAAATTGATTACTCTTTGTGACTTTTGAATCTTTGCAGGCATATTGTGAATAGGATTCTGAACTTACATGCTCCGGGTATGTCAAAGATCCTTCTGTTTTTTCCTTTTCTGAGAATTAAAACTTTTTTTAATTTAGTCAGCCAGTTGACAATCAAATTTGTTGACAAATCAGAATGGTCTGGTGAAGTTCGTAGCATCACTTACTCATCTGATGGCAAGTCAGTTTCAGTTGTTTACCGTGTAACACTATATGGGACTGATGCAGAGGTATTGCTGTCTTTGTTACTTGCTTCACAACTTGTTTCTATAATTAAGGTGTTTTTTGTGTAGTCATAACTAGCTGCTGTATATATCATTTTTGCAATCTTTTTCTGGGGCAAATCTATGTGATCAATTAGTTTTTCCAATGCTATTGTTTATGAGGTGCTGCCTTTTAACTTGAGAAGACCTACCTAAAAAGCCGCAGATAGACCATGTAACAAACTTTAAAGCGAAAGAAAAGTCCAGTGATTCTCATAAAATTAGTTCCGCTTTTAAGGACTTCATTAGATGTATTAGCAGATAATTCTTTTCTTTTTCGTTAAGTGGTATTTAAGTTTTTTTAGCAGACAATTTTTTTAGGGTTAAGCAAGAACCCTAAAAAAGCCTTCTGAAATACAATAACCAATCAATGATGTAATGCAATATGTCCAGAATGTTCGGAGCAGATTACCTTCTTAAATATTCTTTTTGGTGTGAATCTAAGTTACTTTGGTTTCGTCCATTGCATAATTGCTAATTTTATGTAAGCATAGAGTAGCTAATCTTACTTAACTACAAGGACACCTTTTTGGTTTGAGTCTAAGCTACTTCAGTTTTGTCCATTGCATAATAGCTGATGCCCGTTTAAGCATAGAATAGCTAATCTTACTTAAGTAGAAGGGCGCCTGGTGCTTATTATTTACTGCACTTTGTATCTCAGCGGCATGGCAACTTTTACTTTGTTGTGATGTCCCTTTAATTTCAACAGGCTTGTAGCTGATATCAGAATTGTGATTGTTTTTCTTGAATTCCATTTCTTCGTCTATTGGGGTATGGATGATAACAGGTGACATGTTATCCATGATGAAATACTTATAAGATGCCACTGCATGTAACAACTAGGAGCAAACCTCAACAAATAGATGCCTCAGTTCTGTACATTCAGCTGCTTGCTACCTAGTTTTCTAGCTTGCTTGTATTTCATTTATATCAGAGTTTTTAGCTTATCAAAGAAGATGATAGAGTATATGATTTTAAATTTCTTGCTCCGTCTCTCTTACTGTTTTGACTAGATATATCGGGAATCAACTGGCACTGCTTCAGTAGATGACCCAGGTTATGGGGATCCTGTGCAGAAGGCAGAAGGTATGGCATTTCGTCGAGCTTGTGCTCGTTTTGGGCTGGGACTTCATCTTTATCATGAGGACATGTCATAGACTGGGAGATCCAAGTTTCTTTTTGGCATCAGCAAAGATCCCAAGTTTCCTAGTGGTAATAGAGATTACCAAGGAGGAAACTGTAATTAACTCTGGTTCTTGATGCTCCGTCGTGTTGTAAGATTGCTGTATTATCTTGCTCCAAGCTGTCAAATTTTACCCATCAACTAATGACAGTAGGTATAAGTGTCTATATATCTGACCGGTTAAGGGGGAGGTTTTGATATTTCCTGCCAATGTTTTAGGCTTAAGAAGCTTTGTTTGTTGCAAGTAGAGGGCTGTAGGGTCTTTTCTAGATCTTCATTTTGTAAAAGCCCAATGATGTTCTTTCGATGTTCATTTGGCCGTGGATAGTTGGTAGTTTACATTTTGTTCCTCCAACGCAGTTTGCTTATCTTTCACTACAACAACAACAACCCAGTATAATCCCACAAGTGGGGTCTGGGGAGGGTAATATGTACGCAGGCCTTACCCCTACCCCAAAGGGTAGAGAGGCTGTTTCCAGGAGACCCTCGGCTCAAAAAATGCTAACATATTTGTCCCTAATGCTAACATATTTCTCAAAGTTAGGTTTCCCGGCTCAATTTGTCCATCCATTTGAGAATGACAACAACAACAAACTAACAATTTAATTCATATTCTTCCCCAAAAGAACCCTCCAAAAGTGGCTAAGGAACTTTGAATCCCTGTCGCTCTAAACAACTTTGTGCTATATTGTGCAAAATCCAGTGTTGTGATACTTTGGTCGATGTAAACAATGATCTTGATGCATTCCTGGTAGCATTTTTTAATTGATTCTGCAGCGTAAGATACTTCCAACTTTGATAACAAACCAAAAATATGTATTTCACAAAGAAGATCTAGAATTGAGATTTTAGGAGTTAGAAAGTTGTTTTACCTAGATGAATATGTTCCTGTATCAAAAAGAAAGAAAGAAAAAGAACAATCATTGACGTTTAACTGTTACATTAAGTCGATAATATAGCAATTACATTTGGAAATTGAACACTGGAAATACCAGATTTTGTTTCCCAATATATCTGACCTAAAACATCAAAAGGAAAATTGGGATGAAAAGTAAAGTACCAAAGAAAAGAATTAGTTTCATATCCCCTAGTAGATTGTGAGACCTACATTTCAAATCCCAAAGTCTATGTAACCCTGAGAGATTGTTTCGTCCTTCCGTGTTTATTAAGCACTATCAGAGCAGCATTAAACAGATGAAACTATCAATTACAGAAGCAGCATATGAATGATTTGCGAATAAATAATTTCCCAGATGACCGCAAAAGGTGCACAAAAAACTCATCCCGTAGGTCTATTAGATTGATACAAGCCGAATGCTAAGCTATATACTCTACGAGAAAAAGGCAAGGAACATGGTCATTACTTTCACTGAACCAGACCAAATTTGAATAGGAATTTCTTCTGATTACAATCCAGCATTTCACTCAGCGTACAGCTTATGTTCTTCTGCGTTACAAGTTTTTGCCTCGACTCTAATCTTTTCTTCAAGCTATGCCTAAAGTAGTCCGGATAATCAACAACTTCATCAAGTCGCCTCCCCATAACATCTATCAGAAACTTAATCCTTGGCTCTAAAGAGTTGGTAACACTCTTTATCAGAACAGGAGGATAACAAGTGACCACAGCTGCAATCTGTCCAACTCCAAAACCCCGTGAAGTCAAGTAAGATAGGTTAGGTTTCAGAATNACCCCGTGAAGTCAAGTAAGATAGGTTTGGTTTCAGAATCTTGTTCACGTCTCTACACAAAACTTCAGGGTAATTAACTACCACTTTCTGCAGATCCATATCTGTTAAACCTAGTGATTTCAAAAACTCTGAAGTAGGACGTAGCCGCTTATCTACGCTATAACCCATAATATATGGATTCTTCACTATAACTTTACCAATACCTTCCTTTGATAGATGAAGACTGGAAAGAAATTCCACCATCTGTGAAAGCTTATGTTCTATGCTGTAGCTTATAATCCTTGGATTAAGCAGTATCATCTTACCCAGTTGTTTGTCCGTTATACCAAGCGCTTCAAAGAAAGCAAGGAGTGGACAGAGCTTCTCTTCCACACTGTGAGAGAGTATGTGCGGAAATTTAGTAATGGCAGAAGCAACTTCCTTTGGTTTCGAACCCAGTGTTTCAAGACAGTGAACCATTGGGACAAGTTTCTCATGCAAGCCTAGAATAAGGATTTTGGGACATTTCCGAACAACAGAAGGAAGTTTCCTCTCTTGGATGCCTATGCTTCTCAAGTAGTCCCAGTTTTCAGACGCTTTCTCCCTTTGCACGCCCTCAAGGCGCTTGCACTTTTGGAACATTTCATGAATACTTTTATCATCAAAACCTCTGTCTTTGAAGAACCACATAATGCCAGAACTATGGCTGGTTGAAGTCTCCATATTTCCTGTGACATTATAAACAAATTCTCGATAAATATCAAACACGGGAAGAACCTGGTGAAATCACAAACTAGAAGAAAATGTCAGAATATTACGATGAAGACTGTAGGGAAGCAAAGTATTGACTGTTACTTTCAACTAATATACAAAGTGTGGCAACAAAAAAACCAGCTCCTAAGTCAGCTGTATTGTTATTCCGTCCTCATTCTGCTATGTGAAAAATCAATAAATCATTTTTTCCCTTTAGGGATTGTAAGATTCTTCCTATCTCAACATTCAAATGATTCTTCCTATCTCCCTCCTTAGATCAGCAGACATAGTATATCAATTAAGCTGGGGATCATGCTTCCGAAAGTAGTTGTTTACAAGATATTTCACCACACAGGTATTTTCCTGACTGAGAATATGAAAAGGAAAACAAAGACCGCGAAATCAACAGAAATTGAGATAGAACAAATTAAGGACATGTTAAATAGTTCATAAAATACAAACATAAAACACACCAATAACCTAATTAACATACACCGTTAATTATCCTGATATACTAGTGTCATATTTTCGAGAGAATCAAAGTGGCACCTCCAAAAATGACAGTAGAATGAGATCAAAAGATTAAAAGGGAATAGAGAAAAAGAACAACAATACAACTGAAAAACAAAAACAGCTCAGCAAAGAAACATAACACATTGGCTGGTATGCAAATACAGCAGCAAATAAGTGAATCAATTATGATGTAAATACTCAGGGCCTCAGAAGGTGAATACAATTCACTGAGACCGTAAGCCAAACTGAAAAGTAGATAGATAAGGAACCAGCATAGAGTGTCTGTTATCTAATAAACAATGAATTTTAATTGGGTCATCAAAGTAATTGTCTTTATCATCCATTTCAATGTCCAAACTCAGCATAACTCTAGGTTACATTTTGTTGAGTGAAATAGCAAAGAAATGGTAACATGGTACATTCTGGTGCCAAGTATCAGACAAAACTGAACACAATTCTGAACCATGATACAAATAACTGAACACCAACTAATTAAATTACGGAACAAAATCCAGAAATTACACACATTTAAACGTAATTAAGCAACTACACGTATTGTGCAGCAATTTAAGTCCAAATTCACTTACAAAAAGAAGAAATTGAAATAAACAAAGAGGAAACGCCGAAAAAAAGGAGCCACAGCTTTTGGGGGCGTTATCCACGTTTAGGGCACAAACACAAGAAAAAACACAGCAGAAGGGAAAGGAGAGTAGGACCTGAAGAGGAAGAGGTAACTCTTGCTTTTCTACTCTACTGCCACTTCACAACTAAGCGAGAGGATAAGCTCCTGTACTGATAAGGGCATTTTTTCAACATGGGGGACAAACAAAATACACAAAAAAGCCCCTCTTCTACTTTAACTTTATATTCAAATCCCTTTCAAGTTTCAAAAATGACACTTTAATCCTGTGCAGTCTTCAAATACCACACTTCCCTAATTCCTATTTTGCTTGTTCTGTTTCTCCTAGAATAATGGTTCAATTAGAATTTTTAGGCAGTTACAACAATAATATACATATTAATTTTGTGTGGGTAAAATTGAGAATAAACTTACCCTCGATTTTTCGGTAAAGAAACGAGAGGACAGTGCGACCGATATGCCCTCGGGTAAAGCCGAGGGCTTCCACAGATCGGAGCCCGAGGAGGGCGAATGGTGCGCCCAGAACCGGACACGGCTAAGCATTGAGCTTGCGCAAAGTGAAGAACCGAGGCTAAGGGAAAGATGGTTAGACAGGACAAACAATGTGCCGAAATATCTGCCCTTAACCAGAAACTACGGCGCAAATCTCGCCCGATATCAATTGTGTATCAATATTTACTAGAAGAAAAAAGATTTTTACCTTAGAATTTTACTACAATTGAAACTCCCCTACTATATAAAGGGGGGACTTTTTTTATTTGGAGGACCACTGTTAGCATGCATATCAAAGCTATAAAGTTAATTTTATTCTCTAGCTACCGTTAAAAATTGTTTTTCGGCTGCTTGTTTATTTAGTTGCAACCGAGCCCGTTTTGTGGGCTGAATCGCAACCAATTTCAAGCATCTATCATAAATCTAGTCTTAATCATCCATCGCATTTGGTTTGATCGTTTTATTTTCCTTTAATTCAATTATTTACTATTCAAGATCATTCGTGTTAAATTAAATCACATATTCTTTAAACCGCGTATAAATTCAATTGTTACTCATTTTAGGGATAAACAGTTTGGAACCCACCATGGGACTAAGGATAATAGTGGTGATTTAATATGAATCTCCATAACACACTTTATTTTACACTTGTTCTTTGAAGTTTGATTTCAGGCCCATTGAAAATGCCAAATTATTAGTCAGCTCACTTGAATGTTGACGCCGAGTCAGGCGACCACGGTGAAAACAATAACGTGGTACCAAGCAATGATGCACCCCCTATTGATCTTGATGGTGTCCTGATCCCTGACCTAGTCGACACCAACTCACAAGGTGTCGTCAATATCAACCTGCATATTGATCCCAAAATAGCATTTGTGGGGCACCTTGGCCATCGGATCAAGAAACACCTGAAGGGCAAGGTGATGGAGTTAACTTACAATTGATCTTTGAAATGCTATAAGATTAGTAAGTAGCAATAGCACATTTGCCGACTCAAAAAAATGCACAGAACACGAACTCGGGTGGGTTAGAGAAGACGCTTGGAAAAATAAACGGAACCAGATGAATTCGGACCCAGAGAAACTTCCGAGGGGATGAAAATGCTCGAAGCACTATGTCACGACCTCGGTGAAACATCGTGACGGCACCTAGTCTCTACGACTAGGTAAGCCTAATTTGCAGAAGGAAAATCAAATTTGCGGAAGTAAACAATTTAAAACAGAAATAAAGTAGTAATAGTATTTAAATGTGCCACTCGGCTTACACCATGTTTAACTCTCAATACCAATACATAAATCCAAGACCTGAAAACCCACGAATCACAAGCTAATATCAATACTACATAGCTCTAACTCCGGAATGTCTAATAAGAACAGAAAAAATACAGAAGGGCTAAATACTAAAAGCGGTAATAGAAAGGGACTTCTTGGTCTGCTGACGCGACAGATGTACCTCGAAGTCTCTAGAGCAGTCTCCTCCTCAAGGATGATAGGCCTGAGTAGCGGTACCTGGATATGCACATGAAAACATGCGTAGAAGAGGCACGAGTACACCACAGCGGTACTCAGTAAGTGTCAGGCCTAACCTCGGTTGGGTAGTGACGAGGAAGGTCAGGGCCCTACTGAGATTAAATAAATATAAAGATGACAGGATAAGATAAGCAGTACAACTGAAATTCTACAGTAAGAATCTACACGAGATAATAAGAGTACAATAACGAAAACAGAGATGAAGGCAAACCACAAGGAAGTACCACTCATAACAAGGATGATAACCAGGGATCTCTTGGTATCCTCAATATATGCTAGGGATCTCTTGGTATCCCGAGGATCTATTGGTATCCTCAATATATGCTAGGGATCTCTTGGTATCCCGAGGATCTCTTGGTATCCTCAATATATGCTAGGGATCTCTTGGTATCCCGAGGATCTCTTGGTATCCTCAATATATGCTAGGGATCTCTTGGTATCCCGAGGATCTCTTGGTATCCTCAATATATGCTAGGGATCTCTTGGTATCCCGAGGATCTCTTGGTATCCTCAATATATGCTAGGGATCTCTTGGTATCCCGAGGATCTCTTGGTATCCTCAATATATGCTAGGGATCTCTTGGTATCCCGAGGATCTCTTGGTATCCTCAATATATGCTAGGGATCTCTCGGTATCCCGAGGATCTCTTGGTATCCTCAATATATGCTAGGGATCTCTCGGTATCCTGAGGATCTCTTGGTATCCTCAATATATGCTAGAGATCTCTTGGTATCCCGAGGATCTCTTGGTATCCTCAATATATGCTAGGGATCTCTCGGTATCCCGAGGATCTCTTGGTATCCTCAATATACGTGCCAGGGACCTCTTGGTATCCCGTACCTCCGTTCAGATCATAAATACGTATAGGGAATCTCCCGGGATGCCGTACCGTAGTCCCAAAGTAAAAACACACAGCAACAACACAAGAATACCCAATTAAGCTACATTTCATACAAGTAAATAGTTAATTCTAGCCTAACATGCTTCACGTAATGCAATTAAGGCAGTTTAAGCAAATACGCAATTAAGTCAACTAACATGCTTTTCTAAACTAGCAACAGGCTAAATTCACAAGTAGAATAAAATAGGAAAAAGAACTCAATTGAATATTTAAGGAAAAACCAGATTTTCAACAATTAGCTCAAGTACGCGCTCGTCACCTCACGTACAAGGCATTTCAATTATCAAATATATCATATCCTAAGGGGAAGGTCCCCCCACACAAGGTTAGACAAGCCATTTACCTCGAACCCGCTCTAAAATCAACCCGAGACCACGTTCTTGCCACGAGTACTCGACTCTAATGGGGCCCAAATCTATTCAATTCAATTTCGTAATGTAAATAACACTTCAAGTAACTGATTCTACAATTAAATTCTAAGCTAATACGCAAAATTAGGTAAAATGACCAAAAAGCCCCTAGGGCCCACATCTTGGAATCGGGTAATATTTACATTTCCAGAATCCTCACACTCCCACAAGTCTAACCATACCAAAATTATCCAAATCCAACGTCAAATCCCCAATCAAAACTCGAATTTTTGGTCTAAGAACTTTTCCTAAATTTTCATACAAATTCCGAAATTAAATGATGAATTCATGTTTGGATTAATGGAGTACAAGCAAAAAGGAGTTAAGAATCTTTACCCAATCGATATCTCTGAAAATTCCTCAAAATCTCGTTGAAATCCGAGCTCCAAAGCTTAAGTTTTGATAAAAATGGCTAAACCCTCGATTTTGAAATTATATATTTTGCCCAGGTATTTCCTTCTTCGCGAACGCGATGCACTAAAGTTCCACTGGCCAGTCTCCCTCTTCGTGAATGCGATGCCTGAGCCGCAAACGCGATGTTCAGTTCTCTTTCCCTACGCGAACGCGAGACTGACTTCGCGAACGCGTAGGCACCAAGTCCTACAGCCTCGCAAATGCATAAGCTACTTCGCGAACACAAAGAGTAAATTCCTCACCAGCACTAGATCCTCTTCGCGAATGCGAGACCCGACTCACGAACGCGAAGAAGGAAACCAGAACTGTGCTGCTGCAGATTTTTCTGCAATTTCTTTAGTTCCAAAATGACCCGTTGAGCATACGAAACACACCCGAGTTCTCCGGAACCTCAACTAAACATGCCAACCAATCCTAAAACATCATTCAAACTTGTACCAACCTTCAGAATGGTCAAAACAACATCAAAACACCTATTTTTCATCAGATTCAAGCCTAAGAATTCCATAAACTCTAATAATACGCTTTCGATCAAAAAGTCTATCAAACCTCGTCCGAATGACCTGAAATTTTGCATGCATGTCAAATTAAACACTACGGAGCTACTCCAACTTCTAGAATTCCATTCCGACTCTCGTATCAAAATCTCACTATCGAACCAGAAACTTCAAAAATTTAACTTTCGGCATTTCAAGCCTAAATTAGCTACGGACCTCCAAAACACAATCCGAACATGCTCCTAACCCCGAAATCACCCAACGGAGCTAACAGAACCATCGGATTTCCATTTCAAGTCCGTCTTCACACTGTTTCGACTACGGTCAACTTTCCAACACTTAAGCTCTCATTTAGGGACTAAGTGTCCCAAAACTCTCCGAAACTCAAAACTGAACATCCCGGCAAATCAAAATAGAAGAAATAAACTTGGGGAAAGCAATTAATAGGGGATCGAGGCATTAATTCTTAAGACGACCGGCCAGGTCGTCACATCCTCCTACACTTAAACATTCGTTCGTCCTCGAACGAGCATAGAGACATACCTGAAGTAGTGAAAAGATGAGGGTAATGGCTGCACATATCCTGCTCGGTCTCCCAAGTCGCCTTCTCGACTAGCTGGCCCCGCCATTGAACCTTCACTGATGCAATATTCTTTGACCTCGGCTTTCTAACCAGCCTGTCCAATATCGCCACTGGCTCTTCAACATAGGATAAATCCTTGTCCAACTGGACTGAACTGAAATCCAACACGTGTGACAGATCACCGTGGTACCTACGGAGCATCGAAACATGAAAAAAAAACAGATGAACTCCTGCCAAGCTGGGAGGTAAGGCAAGCTCATAAGCAACCTCCCCAACACGCCTCAATATCTCAAAAGGGCCAATAAACCTCGGACTCAACTTCCCTTTCTTCCCAAATCTCATAGCG